TGAAAGTAAATACATACTGAGAATAATCTGACGAATACTTTAAGTAATGGACATCCATATAGATACTAAAATACACTGGCTTTTTTCCTTCTTCTTAGATTCAGTGTGAGGGTGAACAACACTGATGTGTTCCATGTGGACAGACGCTTTTGGACCTCCTTCCGTTCCCGTTTCCCGGCAACAGGCCCCAGAGAGAGAGCTTTTCACTCAGCCACCGTCATTGGCAACTACATGGTGGTCTATGGTGAGCACCGAGAAATGTAGAAAATACATCATCCGCTTTCATCAGTCCTTTTCTGTGCATACTGATCTTTTGTTTTCATGCATGTCTCTCAAAGGAGGTAATGTCCATATTCACTACCAAGAGGAGAAGTGCTATGATGAGGAGATCTTCTTTTACCACCTGGGCTGTCACCAGTGGGTGTCTGCTGGGGAGAGATGGTCACTCAGTGAGTTTAAATTCACACACACACACACACTCTAGTTTTCATCCACAGATCATTTTCTATGTGGTTGTATCTGAACATCTGCAATTACGAGGATTAAAAAAAAGTTTCCTTTTGTATTAGGAGGCGATGCTGTGAGAGGGCGTTACTCGCATGTTGCTGCTGTGATGGAGGGACAAGTGCTGCTGGTTGCCGGGGTTACAGTGGTGTTGCCGTGGAGACCTGGTGGCTTACAAAGTACCACAGTTTGTCAGTAGTGATCAAGGGACAGGGTGAGTGAAAATACAAGACAACAAAAAGTCATATTGGAAAGATGGGCAAATGTACATATGCTCTGCAGGCGAAAGAGAATAGAAGATGAGAGAGGGAATAATGCATTGTAATACAGTACCTATATGTGTGTTTTTTTACCAGGATGCTGTTTGTGCTGAGGCGCTTGATGAAAGTATGTGCCTAAAAAATCCTGAGTGCAGCTGGTGTGAAGGCCGCTGTCGAGAGTCCCAGCCCACTAATCCGGTAACACTTCACTTTGCACCATTTGGTCATTCACTTGTTATGCATTCCTACTTTATGACACATCTGGGATTTTCTTTGGAATTTATACGCCCTTGTTTTGTTTTTTCGAAGTGTGGCAGCACTGGTTGCCTGGGCCTGGCGCGTTTCCTGTCTGATTGCCAGTCCTGTCTGGTGTTCAGTGGCACTCCAGCCTCACTTGCCCGTGCCCCTGGGGAGTTCGGTTGGTGTGTTCAGAATGAGTCCTGCCTGCCAGTGTCAGGTGAGACCCAGGGAGGGAGGAAGGAGGGCGCAAGAGAAGGGTTTAAAAAAAATATGTTTGGTGCTGACATGGGAGGGACTAGACTCTTGTTTGGCGTCTCTCAAAAACAGAACAACATTGACTTCACTTCACCCTGCTGAGACTGGAAAAGCTACTCAGACCGTGGTTTGACTTGCTTGTCCAATCCCATCTTTCCTTTGGTGCAGTTAGGTCATGGGGTTTTACTCTTTTTGAGAAAACGTCACACAAAAGTCAAAGATCAGGCCCCTTTCAGTACAGTAGTAAACGTCAGGATACTGCTGTATGATGAGATTTAAAGAGGTCAGATGTGTTCTTTGTTTGCTGACCTCTCCCTCTCGCTCTCACAGAGCGAAGTGCGTGCCGTGTGGACCAGATCTCAGGCGCGTACGGCTGGTGGGGGGAGCGTACCCTTTTCCTAACCTCCCTCCACTCCTGTCGCACCGAGAACTATGTCCCGGACTGCACCTGCTCACCTTCCAGCACCCGCGCAACGACTCCCAGCCTGACAAGGTACGGAGTCCAAATCTCAAGTGCTAACTGTGCTAGCTGTGGTTGTACCTGATCCCCTCTCTGCTAATACTTATCCTCCTTCCTCCTCCAACATGCTGTAACAATCTACTGTAGTTATCCCTTTTGAATATTATTGTTTTTCCTGTTTTGTTGTTATTTTCTACCTTGTGCTTCTGGCTATCTAACACCTTGACTCCAGTGCTCACTGTTGTTTTTCGCTTTCTGCTTTACAATTCGCTCGTTGTGTAGTCTGTCAAACTTGTGCAGCAGTTTGAAGAGAATAGAGCTTCTGTTGATGTGTCTCCACTTCTGTCCATTCTCCATTATCATCCATCCTCCTCACCCCTCTCGCCAGGTGTCCATCCTCCGCAGCACCACCATCATCCTCAGTCCCACCACAGAAATGGACGTAGCCTTACAGTTCAGGGGCTTCATCCACCCGCTGTGGGGCGCCCCTCCGCCTGCACCTCCTCCCATAGACACTGTCTCCATGTGGGCTCGCATTCAGAGGCTCCACTTTGAGGCCCGAATGCGACAGGGCCTAACTCGAGTCAACTGGTAAGGAAAGCGCACATCAATTCAAAATGTGCAATGCAATGTAGCAATACATTGCAATAGCTTTTTTATCATTTCAAATCACTGCCTCAGAAGTCAAAACTTTAACTATACTATTCATGTCTCTCCTGGAGTCATCATATATGCGAAACCTTTGTCCGCTTGCATTTTGAAATTAAATAAATGAGAGATTTTTAAGATAAGAAGTACTTATTTGACGCCACTTTGACCTAACTTTTTTTTACTTTGTCTTTGTCAAACTCTTGCACCTATACAAACTGAGCAGGAGGTGGTGGGACGTTGGGCGGCCCAGCAGGAGAAAGAGTTGAAGCTGCTGGCTCGCTCAGATGGGAGTAGATTGTTCTCTAACCTGACAAGAGGAAATCATTACCTCGTTCAGGCTGAGGGCTACCTTAACAACTCAGGCTCTGGACAGACCAGTGAGATGGCCTCATCTGGAACAGAACTCTTCCTGGAGGGAGTGTGAGTACTAGCACGTTTAAACCCTGTGCTTCTCTACAAAATGAAAGGGCTTTAACTGTTGCATTTCTGTCATTTTTCTACACAATGAGTCTCCTTCAGTAGAACAAATCAGCTGACCTCAAACCTTCTTTTCTTCCCCCATAATTTCCCCCCTCTTTCTAGGAGATCTCCTTCTTGTTTTTGGAGCCGTACCGCTCAGGTTCCTGCTCGGGGTACATGTCATGTCTGGCCTGTCTGTCCGATCAGTCCTGCGGATGGTGCCCTCTCTATCACGCTGCCTACTGCGGGACAGCCAGACCTGGTGCTCTGCCCTGAGGGAGAGAAGGGGGAAGGCAATGGAGAGAGTCAACGCCATCTGCTGTTGGCACCACAACACTGCACCTTGTGTGAAGAATACAGAGACTGCTCTGCTTGTACCCAGGTACATCTCACAGAACACCTCAAAATGTGTATACAAATATATATGTATCTGTAACATATATTACAGTTCCATTTAGAGTAAGCTGGTATTATGATTAATACAAATCTATATTTGTCCCACAGGACCCTTATTGTGAGTGGCAGATAAACTCCAGCAAGAAAGGAGACTACCAGTGTAGCCGTCGAGGAAGACTAGATGGTTCCATACGTGACCCAGGAGGGTGTCCTAAAGTCTGCAACCAGTGAGCTGAAAAACAATATTTTTCAAACAAAAACTCAGATTTGAAATCATTTCAACAAGAACCTACAGCCGACCCAAGTCTAATGTCTTTTGTCATCTGTTTGTGCTGCATAGGAGAAAGACTTGTGGTGAGTGCCTTTCTAACTCCAGCCAGTGTGCATGGTGTGAGTCTGCCCAGGCCTGCTTCTATTTCGCTGCCTACCTCACAAAATACCCCTACGGAGAGTGCAGGGACTGGTACGACAGGTAAAAAATAAGGAGATTTTTAAGCCTTTTCCTTTCTATATGTATAGGTACTATAATCATTTTGACAGTTGTACATACAGTTACCTTCTTATCCTGATCACAGCTTAAAAACATATATATTATAAGACTCATGTTTCTTAAGCAAATATGAAACAAAGACCTGACTTAATTATAAGTATACGGTTTGTAATTAATTATTATTATTTCCTCTGCCAGTGAGTTGAAATGAACTTTTGATCAATCATTTTATATTCTCCTTTATTCTTTTACTCGTCAGTGTTCATTCGGTTCCCCAGTGTAAGCAATGTTCAGCTCTAAGCACGTGCACAGACTGCCTGCGGACGTTCCAGTGTGGCTGGTGCGGTGATTATAACAACCCCACTATTGGAAAGTAAGTACGGCAAATATATTACTTTACAGAGAAACACATACATACAGTACAAACACATCTGATTTGTATAACTTGTAACGTAATCTCTGTTCTATCAAATAAATGATCAAATAACTGTAGTTTTGTATTGTTGTATTCTTTATTGTTTTATTGAACTTTTCCTTCCATCTCTTTCAGATGTTTGAGGGGAGACTGGGCAGGAATGGACGACTCGTTGGTTTATAACTGTAGTGTTGCTGTTGCTGAAGCTCGGGCTGCAAAGTAAGAAATCTCTTCTAACACTTCTGTGACGTGATGCGGTACCCAGTCATCTTAAAACCAAATATATTAAAATATGAACAATCATACACTAAATATTGTGAGTGGGTTGTTTCTGACCAGTAGAATTTCTTTTTGGAGATGATCCACTTTTAGATATTACAATTAGCTAAAGCAATTACTGCCTCTTTCAAAGATGCCCTCACATGTTTAAGTATTATAATTAACATTTACAGGATTCATAAATAAATAAAATCCACATATTCCAGTCAATGTTTTGTCAGAAAAAAAATAAAATGTTATTGGTAATAGCTTTTAAAATGCATGATAATAATAGATGCATTTCTTAATGATAGAGAGTTTCATAACCTGCAGATACAGTAGAATGCCTGCCAGCTTAAACAGATCTTCTACATCTACATACATAGCTTTGACATGATTAATGGCTAGTGCATCCCTATCAGCCTTCTAATCATTGTCCTGCTCGTCCAGCCCTGAGCCCCAGACCTCGGCCCCGCCTCGACCCCTGGACATGGAGATGGAGCTGGAGCACTTGGAAGACGAGGAGCAAGACGCCATCTGGTCCTACCCCACCTGCCCTGATGTAGAGGAATGCAGGCTGGGCCTCCACAACTGTCACCCCTACGCCACCTGTATCAACACTCCCACCTCCTATGAGTGCCACTGCGAGAGAGGATACACGGGGGATGGCACTCTGCACTGTAACCAGACGTAAGGATCTCTGTTGATTCATGATTCATCCTCAAAGTTGCTCTTTAGCCACCAGGGTTGCTTTTATCTTGATCTTGAAAATAATGATGTTTGTACTCCACCTTCAATCATTCTCCACCAAACGGCAACCTACGCTGTTGAAAAATGAAGCCATTATGGAAGTGCAAAATTCTGCATTTCCTTGAGTGTCCACTAGAGGCTGGCAGCAAAAAGCAAGGACTCCCCCTTAGGTCTGATATTAAAATGTCCACTTTTACAGCAAAAATAAACACGACTACAGGCTAGTACATGAGACAGTTTGAGTCTCAGTAGCTCAGTTAGTGAGGGGGTTGAATTTAGCGATACCGCATCTGTTTTGATTATATTAAGACTTAAAGTTATGCATACATTTTCATAATACGGGGTGTGGCTTTCATAAAGTTACAGGTGGGGGAGTTGTAGCTGTTTGCGAGGAGACTTAAGGCCCGCCTCAGCTCTACCTTTTTGCCTGTTTCTAGATCAATCTAAAGGTATGGGAAGATAGTATTTCCAATTCCGCAACTGCCATCCTTGCGCTTCATAACGCCACTACATCCATGGGTCACTGAGACTACATTCATGTTTTATACAGTCTTTGTTTTTCCCATGTTTATCCTACAGGTGCTACAATGAGTGTCGTGAGGGCCAGTGCAGTGGTAGCCCACGGTTTGAGTGTGAATGCTCACTGGGGTGGACATCTGACCCTGCTACTCTGGTTCTCAGTGGTGTTGAGTGTGATGTGGATTGCGGATGCAACTTCCATTCCACCTGCATTACAGCACCAGGGATCTGTGACGAATGCCAGGGTGAGAACTTAATGTGTGGTTCTTTTCAGTATCTTCTCCATGCGTCTTAGTTATTTAACTCGTACTGATCCCGACTAAGGTGGTGGAGTCATACACAAGTTTTGGCTCTTGCTGACATCCTTCCTCTGTCTTTCAGATTGGACTACAGGCCCCCACTGTGAGCACTGCAGGCCCGGTAGCTTTGGTTTAGCCCTGTCTGGTGGAGGGGGGTGTGTGCAGTGTGAGTGTAACGGCCACGGCGACCCTCTACGAGGATACTGTCACAACCTTACAGGCCAGTGCTACTGTACCCACAATACTCATGGACCACACTGCGAGTCTTGCCTGCCTGGCTACTATGGAGACCCTAGGTAAGAACAATTAGACATTTTTAAAAAATGATTTGTTTTTAGTTTTTTATCTTTATTAAAATTTTCCTCATCATGACTTGTTTATCTTTGTCTGTCTAAAAGGAACAATGGCACATGTTACCGGCAGTGTCAGGGCCGTTCGGTACTGCTCTCCTCCACCTCTACCAATGCCATTCCTCTGTCCTCTTCTCTGGGATGGCGAAGTGGCACAGAAGGTAAAGGAGGACTTTCTCATTGCCTGTGGGTCCTCTCTGTGACTGAGAACCTGGCACCTTGTCTGCCCAGACAACTGTGTCCCCCGATAGCTCTCACACTACATCCAGACTCCCACACCCATTGTAAAGTGAGTACAAACTTGACCCTTGTACACACACGCCAACGCCCACACTCAAATGATCATGTTAACTGCTAAAGCATCATAAAGGTCAGTTTTGTCTCTGTTTAACTCCCTCTATTGCTGTTTTGTTTTGTAGAGCTCCTATGTCTATGTGTTTGATGGCCTTCCTCGTTTCCTCAGCAACGGCGTTGTACATTCCGATCACAACCTGATTGGGGCATTTTGTGGCACCACAAGGACTCAGCCTATCACTGTAGAGGCCACCTCAGGTATCCATTGATCATCATTGAGTATAAACAATTTTAGCTAGAAAGTTCTGCTTTGACATGAGTCCATTCCAGGCAGACTGCAAGAGCTGAGTAATAAAATGTGATTAAATTGGTCTTTTTGGGCTACCGTACATCCTTCACAACACATAAACAACAAACAATCCAATAGATTATGTTACCTTAGGAAGTCAGTTACAGTCAACCTTCTTAAGATGTTACACAAACTCTTAATTTTCTCTAATGACATGAGGTAAATGGGTGTGATGTGCATTTTGATTTGATAGTTTAACTCATTTTCCATCTGTTAACATTATGACCTTTACTGCAGCCAGTCAGTAGAGGGAGCTCTAAATCTGTGGGCTTCACTTGAGGCGAGGAATTGTGCTATCCTTTCTTCATACAGACTTAGATAGAAATCCTGAAGTGTTAAAAGACACAATTTAGTTTTTACCATATTGTATTTTCCCTTCCACCACCAGGTGTGATCTCAGTTTACTTTGAGGCCAACGTCACCTCAAACAAACCTCAGGGCTTCAATGCATCTTTCTGGGTGCGGCGTTGTCACCACAGCTCAGATGACGGTGAAGACGGATCACCTGTGTGTCCAGGTGGAGCCCAGTGCCAAGGCGGCCTCTGTCAGTGTCCTCAGGGATATGCTGGACCGCACTGCGACCGGCCCATGTGTCCTCAGGATTGTGGAATAGCAGAAGGGAGAGGGGCATGTAATACAGTAAGATTTGTTTTTATTTCATGTTGACCTTTTGGCACAAGTATCCCTTATATCTTAGGGTAGAACATTTTGGGAATCAATAAAGCAAGTAAATTGTAACACAGCACTATAAATGACAGATTATATGTATTATTTTGTAGTTGTTTACGTCAACCATAGATTTTTGAGGTGACATGTTAATATGTTATTCATAAAATGACAGCTTGAAAACATCTTGTCTTACTGACAATAGTCATTTTACCTATTTACTGATATTACATTTCAAAAAACAACAGTTTTGAAATACTCAAAGTGGGGAGAACACATTTTGTTAGTTTTCTAACCACCATGTTTTGTTGTCTTTTTTGCCAGTCTCTGGGAGTGTGTGTGTGCACAGACAGCTGGGCCGGCTCGGACTGCTCTGTTCCTCGGGACTCCAACAGCTTGGTATGGGAAACACTTCTGGACACGCAACTGACCGTGGTAAGGGCAGAACATAACCGAAACAGTAGGAAAACCAGCTTCAGTTTGCACAACTTCTGAATTATACACACATTCATGTGCAACTCTGTTCCACAGAACCAGGCCCACAGGTTCCTCCACAGGATGGGCCACACTCTGGTGTCTGGACCACAGGGCTACCTATGGATGTACGGAGGGCTCTCTCTGGCAGAGGGCATTCTGGGAAATGTCTACAGGTAGGGGCACATTTTAGGTGACTTTATAATGCATGCACTATCTATAGTGGCATGCAAACTGAAGAATTTTGTCCCTGCTTGTTTTAGATATTCTGTGTCAGAGCACCGATGGACGCAGATGTTGACAAGCTCTGTGGAAGAAGGCTCCACTCCAGGACCTCGCTATCACCATGCCTCTGCAATGCTGACTAGTCATGAATCTGGCTCAGGAAGCATCTTAGCCAGTCACAACTTCATGTTGGTGGTGGGTGGTGTGACTCAAAATGGTGTTGCCATGGATACGTGGAGTCTCAATCTCAGCAGTTTAGTGTGGAGAGAACACAAGGTTTGGACTTGATTTAGTAGAGGACAACCTATCTGAATAAACCTGTTTTCTGTCTTTGTTTCTTTTCTTTTCTTTTTTTTTATCTCTAACAATTTAAAATGTTCTCCATCTTTGGCAGAGCGCACTTCTTCCACCTATGGCTGGCCACACTTTAACTGTACGCAGAGACTCCTCTGTGCTGCTGATTGGAGGTTACTCTCCAGAGAACGGCTTCAACCACCACCTTCTGGAGTTCAGCCCTCATTCTGGAAACTGGACCATAGCCCCCCATACTGGCACACCCCCTACAGGTTCTTTTAATAATCTGCCTCATGCAGAAATGCAGTATTACATATCCAAAATGTTTAACAGACAAAACAAGACATTTGCAAAGATCACAGTTTTTCCTTTCTTCTTTAACCTTGTTTTTACCTTAAATTTCCTTTAGGTTTGTATGGCCACTCAGCAGTGTACCATGAGCAGACTGATGCCATCTATGTCTTTGGAGGCTACCGCTTTCATGTAGAGACTGTGGAGCCCTCAGGAGAGCTGTACAGTCTGTACTACCCCAACCTTACCTGGTCTCTGCTGGTCCCCTCACGGGGAAACAAGGTCAGATATCATTCACGTCCAATCTCAACCCTCATTACAGGCCTTTATATACGAAGCCAAGCATGTATCCCCTACTTATACATAAAGTTTAACTTGTGTTTCTATGCTATACCTCTATGCTATGCAGCCCCTGTCCCGTTTCTTCCACGCTGCAGCGCTGATCAAAGACACCATGGTCATTGTTGGGGGAAGGACAGAAGCCGAAGACTACAGTAACTCAGTGTCTCTGTACCAAATCAACTGTAACACCTGGATACAACCAGGTGACTGTCTAAATGTCATTTTGGCATATTTATATGATCACATTAAAGCTTGCCATTTCATAATCAAACCACTTTTCCTCTCTTTCCATCAGCCTCAGCGATAGGAGATCCAGTAAATCGTTCTTTGTCTCTTGCCATGACGAGCTGGGGGGGTCGTCTCTTTCTGTCAGGAGGCTTCAATGGCGTCACGCTGGGCAGACTCCTAACCCTGACTGTTCCCTCTGACCCCTGTGCCCTCATGCAAACACCGGAGGCCTGCAACGCCACTACAGGCAGCTGCCTCTGGTGCAGGGGAACCTGTGCATCTTCTGATACTGCTGAGAGGTAATGTATTTTCTGAAGTAGAAAAAAATAGCACTCTTTTGTCGATGGTTATTGCAGCAATTTAAAAAAATGTATCTGTTGCTATCTTTTAGAATGGGCTGTTTCACTGGCCAGTTTCCTTGCTCTCCGACCCCTCGTCAGCCAGACCAGTGTCGCAGACTTAAGACCTGCAGTGAATGCCTCGCCAGACACCCTAAAACATTCTCCAATCCAACTCAGGTAACCCACAACACCCCTACTCTAACAAAGCTCAGAAAAAGTCCCAGTAAACCTACTACTGTTTGTCAGCTAAAATCTGTTCTTCACTGAATTTCTCAGCCTGCTCTACAGTGTAAGTGGTGCACAAATTGTCCAGAAGGGGCCTGCATCAGCAGCTCTGTCAGCTGTACGTCTGAACATGACTGCCGGATCAACCAGAGAGAGATCTTCCTGTCCAGCAACTGCACTGAGACCAGCTGCGAGGCTTCTGACTGCCCTAAGTGTACAGCATCTGGAAAATGCATGTGGACTCGCCAATTCAAACGCACAGGTACGGTGGATAGAAAGTAGATAGATCTATTATGCAGTTCTGATGAAATAGCTGGGTTTATGCATCTAGATTCAGAATCTGTGTTGTTCTTGTTAAAGGCTTTATATGCATCCAGCAGATGTCGCCCTTGAGCACCAGCATGAAACCAAAACAATTTGCGCTGCATTGTTGTGTTAGCATGCTAATCCTAGCGATCTTTTTTATGCTCGTAGCTTCACACTGCATGTAAATTTACCCGAAATGACCGTGATCTAGAAACGCTTACGTGACATTCAATTAAGCAGTGAGTACAGTATGTTATTCTTCTTTTCTATTATCCCTCAATTAAACAACTTTTATATGCGAGGGGATGAGCCGGCCGGCCGGCCGTCCGGGCGATGTAAACAAACTGAAGATAGGACTCGGAAAGCATCACAGACAGTGGGACACGAGTGTTACACCCATTGTAGACAGTCATTACTCACGTAGTTATTTTCAGAGGATATACTTGATTTCTATTACATTTAAGTGTGAAAGATCACATAGCCTTTAAGCGCCCGACTGAAAATGTGGACTTGCTGTCATTTCTGCAGGTGAAACAAGGCGCATACTGAGTGTGAACCCCACCTATGACTGGACATGTTTCAGCTACGCCCTGCTCAACGTCTCCCCCATGCAGGTGGAGTCTTCCCCCCCAATGCCATGCCCTCCACCCTGCCACAGTCTCCATAACTGCAGCCTCTGTCTGGGCTCGCGAGGCTCTGATGGGGGCTGGCAGCACTGTGTGTGGAGCATGGCTTTGCAGCAGGTAACACTGCCAGGCTTTAACTTGACAAACTATTTGTGACTTTTAGTACCAAAGCATGTTTCTTCATAACTGATGTCGCTGCCCTTCTTCTAGTGCATGAGCCCCTCTTTCATGCCCCTGCGATGTGAGGCGGGTCAGTGTGGCCGCCTGCTCTCTGGGGGGGACTCCTGCTCCCCCCAGTGCTCTCAGCTCAGCCAGTGCTCCCAGTGCATTGCAAGGCCTCAGTGTGGTTGGTGTGCTTCTCGTGGAGGAAATGGGGCTGGTCGCTGTCTGCAGGGAGGACTTGATGGTGAGATTTATCTTATATTCACTAGATTAGTTTGCCATTTCTTACTAAATGTATCTAATTTGATGCGTTTCTCATTCTGATCCACAATCGTCCTTCCATTCTTTTCTCCCAGGTGTGAGTGAGGGTGTTTGCCCACTGAGAAACAGCAGCTGGTCCTTCCTCCACTGTCCAGAAGAAGATGAATGTGCCAACGGTCATCACCACTGCAACATCACACAGGACTGCCACGACCTGCCCCAGGGATACCACTGCACCTGCAAACATGGTTACATACTTAGCAGGTGAGATCAGGAATCAGTGTTTATGCTCTCAGCAGAAAAAAACTGTCATTTAAAAAAACATTATTGTAGTTAATACACAAGTTAATCAAAATCTCCCAATCTTTCTTCTATACAGTGTTTCTGGTCAGTGTGAGCCAGTGTGTGCACAAGGCTGTGTGAACGGGACGTGTGTGTCCCCAGGAGTTTGCCAGTGTCACTTTGGATTTGTCGGGGAGAATTGCTCCTCCCAGTGCAGTTGCAACAAACACAGCAACTGTGCCGGTGTTAGCGAACCAGATGTTTGCCTGGAGTGCCACAATAACACCATTGTAAGTGCTTCTGGTGAAACACAAACACGTACTGTAAATACAGGTTTTCCTTATTCACTGCTGATGATTTATCCTTTCCCTTATCTCCAGGGTAAACACTGTGAGAAGTGTAAGCCGCTATTTGTGGGCTCTGCAAAGGGGGGTGGTACTTGCCGTCCATGCCGGGAGTTTTGCAGAGGAAACAGTGGCGTGTGTTTATCTCGAGATGAACATAAGAAGGCCCTTGAGAACCCACGGCTCTTCCCCCTGGATACAAACAGTGTAAGTATCTGTCATCCCTGTGGCTTCCTCCTGATTATATTGTATATTCTTTTGTAGAAGAAAAAGAATACCACCACCAGTGGTGTGCTTACTCTAGTAGTTTTGGCGCTGTCTTAGTTCTGTCTTGTTGTCTTTCACTTACAATCTCTCTATGTCCCTTTGTCAGATTCAGGACTGGGTGTCTGAGGGTCCCACAGAAGAGAACGCTGTTTGTGTGAACTGCCAGAACAACAGCGTGGGGGACAAGTGTGAGAGCTGCCTCAGTGGCTACTTCCTGCTGCAGGGGAAATGTGACAAGTAAGAAATATTTGCTGGATTATTTTGCTGTTACAACATTACAAATCCTAACTATGTTAATAAGAATAAGATATGACACTTTAATAGTTAGAATAATGCTGAGCCTTTCAGATTTATTCTGCATCAACATATTGTTTTATGACCAAATGATGCTTCAATTTAAACTCACCATAACACAGAAGGTAATATGGTGCTTTTATAGTTTAAAAAAAGAAAAACACCCTTTGCTTTCTCCTCACTAGTCCTTGTTTTTTTCTCCTTTTTGTTTCAGGTGTCAGTGTAATGGCCATGCAGACACATGTAACGAACATGATGGTACAGGTTGCCCTTGTCAAAACAACACAGAGACCTCTTCCTGTCTCAGCAGCCCCCAGAGCGACAGGAAAGACTGTTACAGACAACAGGTATGCACATGCAAAAGATGATCTGAAGCATGGAAATCTATACAATATCACTTGTTTTTTCTCGCATTCTTATTGTTTTGTTTTCTCTATCTAGTGTGCAAAGTGTAAGGACTCCTTTAATGGCACACCTGTTAATGGGCGTCAGTGCTACCGTCAGTTCAACGTAGACTCTGAGTGCTGCTTTGACCCAACGTCCCAGACCAACTGCTTCCATGATCCCACCATTCGTAACCTTCCCAAGGGGCGCACTGTCTTTTTTGCCGCCCAGCCAAAGTTCACCAATGTGGACATTCGGGTTACCATTGATGTTACCTTTGGTGAAGTGGAGGTGTATGTGTCCAACTCTCATGACACCTTCATTGTGGATGTAGACCGCTTCTCAGGGATTCACACCATCAAGATCGAGGAGGAATCAGCAACCCGAGGGACAACGACTGGCACAGAGAAGGATTCAGCCCCGTCCCCTATAAAGGTGTTTTCCAATTCTTCATCCAGTCTCGGAGGTCCTGTGCTTTCCCACAATCCACTGCAGCTGCAAGCAAAGGCTCCGGGGGCAGAGAGAGAAATAAGAGAGGAGCGGGCAGAAGGACTTATCACCTACATCACTGTATGGAAACCACAGACAGTGCTGATTGTTCGAGCCGTTCGAGATCGTGTGGTCATCACTTTCCCCCATGAGGTGCACTCCCTCAAATCCAGCCGCTTTTACATCGCTCTGAGAGGCGTGGGGACAAACCTGCAACAAGGAGAGTCCCAGGGTCTGCTGTTTCTGCGACAGGACCAAGCCCACATCGACCTGTTTGTCTTCTTCTCTGTATTCTTTTCCTGCTTTTTCCTTTCTTGTCCGTCTGCGTTCTCCTGTGGAAGGTTAAGCAGTTCCTGGACTTCCGTCGGGAGCAGCGCCGCCACATCCAGGAGATGACCAAGATGGCGTCAAGGCCCTTTGCTAAACTCACCATTTACCTTGAGCCGGAGGAGCCTCAGCTCATCTACCTGCCTTCAGCTGGGGGAGTTGTGGGGGGCAGCACTGTGTCACTTGCTCATGCCCGCACGAGCAAGTTAGGAGGAGTGGTGGTGGGCCAGAGGGGCAGGGCAGGAGCCGTCTCCTATAAACACGACCCAGGATCAGGACCCACAGCCCACCACCACCACCACCTCGCCCTGGGTGGAGGGGGCAATGGCGGCCAGCACCTGCCTCTGCACTACCTGAACACCCACCACTATGCTAGCACCACAGCTGGAACCCAAGGCTCACACCATCATCACCCATCCACATACAGTGGCTACCAGCACTTTTGCCGGTCCGACCCCTTCCTCTCTCAGCTCATGGGCTTTTCCTACTCCACCTTTAAGGTTGGGCCCATCACTCTGGAACCCACAGACGATGGCATGGCCGGGGTGGCCACTGTCCTCTTCCAGTTACCCGGGGGTGTCTTGGCTCCAAATCGGGCCTGCCTGGGCTCCGCTTTGGTGACACTGCGCCAGAACCTGCAAGAGTACTGTGGCCATGGCAGTGGAGGAGGGCACCAAGGGGCGGGTGGAGGGCGCAAGGGGCTGCTAGGGAACCAACACCTGACCACTATGGCTATGTAGGAAAGCAAAGATATAAATTTTAAAAGAAAGCAGGGATAAGAGGTGAAACGATGGGATAAGCCTGTAAAATATTTGATATATTATAAATTAATTTTTCAAAAGAATAAGGCAGAGACAAAGTCAAAAATAAAGAATTATGAAAGAGTCAGTTAACGTGAGCATTTTGAACAGAGTTGTACATACACTGTGTAATGAATAATTAAGTGTCTTTTATTGTATTATGTATTGCTTTACTGTATTTCAGTGCGTCACATGACCAAGCCAACTGTCTCTAGAATGCACTACAACTGCTATACGTATCAACGAAGCAATGTTTCGACCCGTCTGTGATCACTAAAGAGGTATGAGCACACAAACAATGAAGCTGGACTGTTGTTAAAAATCTTCTCATTGACCAACAGAAGCATCTGCTCTCTTTAGAACCAACATGTGCTTTATACCCCCAAAAGTGACAATCAAAATTGCCGTTAAGAACAAAAGACTTCATAAAGGTGTAAGATTTTGATTGTCAGCTCTGCGCAGGAAAGTTAATGTTTTTTTTAATCATAATCAATATGAGTGATTTATAATTGTAACGCAGTGTATGGCAGGCTTCTAAGCTACATGTTTTTGTTAAACTGACTCATTCACCTGCTCTGTTACATCGTATTTGTCATTCTGCTCATCTGCCTTCACTTCTTGCCTTGTCTGTGAGTCAATGGGCTTACACTGAAATCTTGTCTTGATGGAAATGTGTGGTGCGGCTCCTGGGGAACACTAAAGCTAATGTTACATTTTCGGTCATGAATAGATTTTATAAAAAAGAAAAAATGAAGGATTTTCAATATCAATCTTTAGTTCTTGACCCTGTTACATTGTGAAACACTACAGAACTTGTCCGTAAAAATGAAAGAATTGTCTGTCCTTTTGAAACATTTCATCACATTTTGTTACGCTGGTGTTTGGCTAGTTTTGCTGGACTGCTATTTTCAGGCAACGTGTCTGCATAGATGATTGTATTCAGCCATGTAGTCATAGCTACAATTTGAGCAAGATAAAATTGGATGTGGAAAAAAATACAGTAGAAAAAAAAGTTGCATTTGAAAGTTCTCCTGGTGAGAGATTTGGGAAGACTGGTCAGCATTCATTTTTGTGAAGAGCCTGAATAATTTATTCACTGGTTGGTGTCAATGTTAGTTTTTTTTTTTGTTTTATCTTTTTGCACTGCATGGAGGCAATGAGCCCCATTATTCATGTGAAACACTAAGAGGGGAAGTCGTCCAGCCTTTGGAGGCACAGTGTGTCATGGATGAACTCAGAATGGTGATACTGGCTTCTTATCAAATTAACAAAACACTATTTCGTGAGCTGCATACAGTAAAATTAAGTACAAGTAAAGCTCAAATAAATACTGTCACTATTTATAGCAGCCATCCATACATAAGCATTAAAACCGTTTCCTTTCTTGTATCTTTTTCTATGTTTTTTTTGTTACCATACTTTATTTTTGTACATAACTGTTGTGTTTTTTTTTCTTGTTTTCAAAGAAGGGAACAGTGTTGAACAGAAGATTGCGTCAAGATTGTCTTGCCTGTGTCAGCTGAAATAAAGTCTGTGGAACATGAGTTTGTTTTGTTTTGTACCGAGAAGACAATACGATGCTATATGTTTTTCGATTTTGACATGCTAATAATAACTTCAAATTAGATAATTTTTTCTGGGTTTTGAATAGAGGTTTCTTATCTGTCTATTCAAACTCTTAAGAGCCAAATTTGAACACTCTTGCTTTTGGTGACTTTATTTGTTTTGTTTATAATTTTTGTGTTACTAAATCGACATCAGTTGAACACTGCAGTTTGAAAAAGAGTTAGGGGATAACAAGTTATTTTTTATCTAAACAAAAAATGACTAAATGAACGGGAACAAAATGAGACGCATATAATAAAATAGAAATAAACATTACATGAGTAAATAAAAAAAACGAAATAGATTTCATGGAAACTTTGTAACTTCCCAGATTGGGGTCTTAGTGAATAAGTAATGAATTTCAAATTAGGTCTTTTGGAAAGCCTTTACTTTATATCAACATCCTTCTAAATACATTTCTAATAACATTAAAATAAAATAAAAAATCCTAATTTCTTTTTTTCAATTATTTTATTTTAATTAATTTTACCCCAAACAATAGACACCATGCAGGCAAGACAGTACCAGCAGCAGTAACATACAGTATATCTATAACCCGTCTTACAACAGCACGGTACTGACATTCACCTCCCCCCCGTCCCGAGCCCAGTGCAAAGCAACATCTAGATGTCATCAAATTCATGTAGAGACAAGAATAACAAGAATAATAATAGTAATAATACAAAAAAATACTGAGCTAATGATGAAAGAAAGTAAAAATAAACAAAAACATTCACACACAACAACAAAAATCGTCATTTCTTCTGTTGTAAATTAAAGTCAGATATTTTTGGATTAATTGTGATATGGTGAAGGTAAATCTATGAATGAGTCAGAGTCTGGTCAGAGTAAAATAGTTGTTGATGTCCTGTAATTGTTCCTGTCCCTTTAATTGCACTTTGGACGGTGAACGTAAACGTCACTGATCTGAGCTGATTGGCTTGAAACCACAGGAAGTCCGGTTCTGTGTTATTATCCTATTATCGCTGCACATTCTCGTGTAATGTAGACGCTTAGTCAACGCGTGCTTAGTTCTTTAAAATATGTTCTTGCTGAATTATAGCATTTACAAAGGTGAGTTTGGGCCTTTCAGCGGACACAGCGTAATGACAGTGACAGTCGCTTAGTTACCAGCAAACTGGAGCAAATCAGCGGCAGCTCGATGCTGCTAGGCTAAAGCTGCTGTTAGCGTAGATGAGCAAGGACGCGAACACATAACAGGAATATAACCACTTGTTTTTGTTTTTGCATTGCTGTCAGTTCCTTGTATGTCGGTAACTTTGCCTTTATAGATATTCAGCAGAATAATGCGGCGTTCCTCTGGTCCACAGCACACTTCAAAAGGATCACAAAATCCTAATCCCAATTAATAGTGACAACATGAAGATGAGAGCTGCCAAGAAGAAGTCTTTGCAAAACAAGTCAACTGCAGAGAAGACACCGCACAATGTGGTCGTAGTTCAAAGGGAATGTAAGCCCGAAGAAGACACTCGTGAAATTTGCACTAATGGAGAAGGCCTGAACGTACACATTAAGGAGGAACCACGTTCACAGGAGATCAGTGGGGAGCTCAATTTAAACTCACTAAGCTGCTCAGACACTAACCCCAACACTGTGACATCCTGGCCAGATGTTGCCAGCCAACAGGTGTTCATAAAGGACGAGTTTGAGCAGCCAGAGTATGAATACACTGAAGCTGCTGTCAAGGAGGAGTCCGAGATGCGGATGAAAGAGGAGGGAGATGCTGAAGAGGATGTGGACAACATCCAGGAAGATTCTGGAGAGGATGAGCAGGTCTGCACAGGTAGGAAACAGTTTTAATATCCCAGGATGTTGTGTTGGCTTTTTGTGTTTGTTTGCATGCTTATTTCCATGTGAGTACCGTTGTTTTATTAATTAAAATGTATATTGTCATTTTGTAATAAAACCCGGCAGATGGCCACTATTTAGCAGTTTTTTGGATGTGTTTTCCTGAATAATTTGTTAGCGTGAAATACTGCAGCTGTTTTATAAACATTATCCGCAAAAGAGTATTTTTATTTTGATAATTGCATTTTTTGCTTCTGTACTTAGTTATTAACAATTATCAATCATAATACATACATAATACTAGAACAGCCTGCAATTTATTAACTTAAACTCGTTTTTTTTTTTTTTAAAGTCAGTGTATTTAGGTAGGCTGATATTACCAATTCTTACATTTAATGTTCTCTTCATTCTCATTGTTTCTGCTTTTCTTAGAATCATCATCTGAGTTCTTTCCATGTCCCCACTGCTCCGTCTCCTTTACTGACTTGGAGTTCTTAGAGAAGCACGTCAAGTGGGTCCATCAGAAGCAATATCTCGCTAGTCTGAAAAAATGCCTCTCAAGCAGCACACAGAACCTTATCCAAAAACACACCTGCACAGTCTGCAGTAGCACCTTTACTTCTAAAGTAAAGCTGAGGGTCCATGCACATGAAGCCCACCCATCTGCCCCTCCACGAAGGCTCTACCCCTGTCCAACATGTGCACGCAGCTTTCAGTACCTAAAGAACCTCAAGAATCACTGTCAGCGATGGCACAGTATGTCTGTGGTAACCAGAGGAGGGCATCTCAGCTGTGCCGATTGTGGGAAAAGTTTCAAAGCTACCTGGGGTCAAGGGCCTCATTTGTGTCATAAACCAGATACCACAGAAGCGGAGGATAAGCCAATCTGTCTGGATATTGGTGTGCCATGTCCAGAGTGTGGTAAGATCCTGCGCACACCTCAAAGCCTGGAAGATCACATGCGCACCCACACAGGAGACCGTCCGTTTGTCTGCAAAGATTGTGGCAGGAGGTTTGTGGAGCGCAGTGGTTGGCGGCAACACATGAAAATTCACACAGGGGAGAAGCCGTACAAATGTCAGGTTTGTGGGAAGGCCTTCTTACGATCACATCACCTTAACTGCCACTTGACAACACACTCCAGCAAGAAGGAATATTCTTGTTCTGTATGTGGAAAGGAGTTTGGATTGAAGGCAAGTCTGAATCTTCACTTGAGGACACATTCCAGTGAAAAACCTTTTCACTGCAATGTGTGTGGGAAGAACTTTAACACCAGGAAAAACTTGAGGGTTCACAGCAAACTCCACAACAGCGAGAAAGCTCACCAGTGCGGGGACTGTGGGCTAAAGATTGGCGATCTAGGGGCTTTAAAAATACACCTGCGGACACACACTGGAGAAAGACCCTATCACTGCACAGTCTGTGGCAATAGGTTCATTCGCCTTGCACATTTAAGAAACCACCAACGCACTCACACTGGTGAGAGACCCTACAAATGTGATGAATGTAGCAAGAGTTTCACCCAGTCTGGTGACCTGGTGAAGCATAAGAGGATACACTCTGGAGAAAAGCCCTTTGAATGTCCAGACTGCCATCGCTGCTACACCTCCTCTGGTGACCTGGGCAAGCATCGGAGGAGTCACACTAACCTGCGTCCCTACACATGCTCAGAATGTGAAAAAAGCTTTCGCTTGTCAGGCCACTTGAAAACTCACATGTTAACACATACAGGGGAGAAGCCATTTTCCTGTCCTAACTGCCTCCGCAGGTTTGCTCGCTCTCACCATCTTTCTGGGCACGTTGCTAAATGTCGTTAAGCTTTAAGAGCATGAAGAAGACTGTAAATAAGCTTGCCTGATTTAAAGTGGTCATTCTGAGAACTGCAAACAGTCAACTAATAGACTTTGTTTAAGTCTAAACTAATATCTGTGTAACTATTTAAAATAACTTTATGGAACCACTTGACCCAGATGACTGTTTTAATCTATTGTGAAAAGTGAATTGAACACATTGTCATATTTTTATTGCACAGATCTCCTTACAGCCCTACCAAAGGCATTATTTTATTTTAGTCTGCAGGGTAGATCAACTGGCGTAAGACACTATTGTATCCGGGGTTTGTTTATACGGTATGGGTCAATGTTTAATGAGACATGCTTGTTATGAATTGTTTTGTTTCTCCTGAGATCTTTGCTGTATGATTTGTAAAAAAAAAATAATAAATTACATAATTAGTGCACAAACAGGGTGTTTGATGCTACTGAGTGTCAAAGAAAATAATCTGAAGCATTTCTGCACAATGAGAACAATCAAAATAAAAACTGGAAAATTTCCTGCAAAATACTAAAAATTACCTCTGACAAGATAACTGACCGCTATAAATAAATATGCCGTTTAAAATCATACATTGGGCAGCTCTTATAACTGGGTAAATCAATTTAGCTGGTAACACTGCTTAGTAATCCACTAGAAAGGGGAGATTTGTCTGCTAATCGTTATTTTTCAATGTCGGCATTATTTATGAACTATGATAGTTTCTCCCTTTGACATAAACAAATATGGCTTTAACATTGGGAAGCAAATTGGTGTTGGAGGTTTTGCAGCCATGATTTTTACACATTCTGATTCTCTTCAATAGATCCTTAATGCATTTTATTATTCTACATGGGACTATATATTTTCCTGAAATCAGACTTAGTAGTATGATATGTCCAAGTATTTTTATTTATACAAGGAAGGAAATGTGGCTGAAAGAGACAAATATAACAATAAAGATTTAAAAAAAAAAAAATCATACATAGTAAGTTTCACAAGGACGAGTAAGGTGGACAAAGAGAGAAATAATAAACACTTATTCACATAAGTGAAAGAGAATTACGAATACAAATGTGTGTGAAAATAATCAAAAACAGACTTTTTAGTTTTCTACAAATCTGTTCTGTAAAATCTAACGAATAAAGCAGTTCGTGGATGCAGAGTGCAAATACAAACTCTTAAATATAGAAAAGGACATGTAAAAACTGCATGATAAAGTGAGCTTCATCTGAAATATTACCTGCGTCTCTTCAGTCTACACTTCCTGTCAGGTAGACTACACGATTCCCCCAAAGGCCTATGTGATGTTTTCAAA